GAACAACACACACACACACACACACACGCACACACACACACACACACACCAAGGTTATAATAGTTTTGGATTTTTCATTAGTTTTATTTTTAACTTCGTTTTAATTAGTATTACTAGTAAACTAGTTCACATTAGTTTCTATATTTTAAAAGTGATTAGTTTTAGTTTAGATTTTAATATTTTTACTATTAGTTTTTCTAAATAAGGATGTTTGTTAGGTGCAAGATTCAAAATCATCAGAATAAATATTGCATAATAAAACTCCACCAAAGATAGACTACATTTGTTTGACACAAGAACACTACCATCTATCACTACCATCCTCAAATTTAAACACAACAGCCCGCAAGACAGCAGCCTATATACAGGCTTCTGAGGACAGATACACAGTAGTGATGGGAAGTTATTTAATGCAAACCAGAGTTTTTGTGACAAAGTTTGGACTCAACATATCAACAATATGCAGTACACTCTTAATATGCATAACACTCTTAAGGATCTGCTCGGGTCATATGTAGTGCTGTCGCCGCTGCTGTCATGTCCAGCTGTTGTTTTTGTCGTGGGAACAACAGTGAGGATGACTGGAGGAGGACCGGCCTGATCGGGCCAATGGCAGCAGGATTAGAGACTCTCATATGCACACACACCCTCTTATACACAAACACACTCGCTCTCGCACACACTGTCCTATACACATTCTCAAACACACTCAGACACTGTATTATATAAACACAAACACACACACACACACACGTACAGACAGACCTCAGTGGTGTACTTGAGGTTCTCTTTCCTGCAGATCTCCAGTATTCTCTCCTGCTGGACGTCGTTGGCCAAAGGTTTGAAGCGGAACTTTGAGCACCTGGAGGTCAGCGGCTCGATGATCCTGCGGGCACACACACACACACACACATCAGCTCAGAAAGAGAGAGTGTGTATGTGAGAGAGAGAGAGAGAGGGGGAGGGAGGAGGCTGTTTCTCAATTCTAAGAACCCAGAGAACAGATTTGTTTATTTATTTATTTAGGTTTTTAATGCCATCTCAGCAACATTTGGAGATATTCATGGCAAAACATGTACTAAATGCACAATATATAATCATATCAGTTTCCTAACAAACAGATACAAAAAAAGACAACAACAAAAAACATCCAAACAGCAGCAACACTGAAGAGTCATACACAATCCTTTAGTTTGATTAATGATAAATATTCTAAAACTGCTCCAGAAGGCACCTTTTCAAACATTTCACTTAAAATATTTCCCAAATAAAAACGTTCTCATCGTTATGTGCTGTATGCTAGGGTTGGTTGCTCTGCTTTGTCCATTTGTAGGCTCAAGCATTGGCATATCCTCGTTTACAAATCTATACTGGGTTTACTCCCATCAGATCTCCAGAATTACATTTGTAAAGAGCCTGTTCTTAACTATGGCCTTCACTCACAGGATATTTATTTACTGTGTGTTCCTGAAGTGCAGACTGACATGGGGAAGAAGGCTTTTAAGTATGCAGCACATTCTGCATGGGATAATCTGCAAACACAGTTGCAGTTCAAAGACTTGATTTCACTACATGCTTTTAAAAAGACTATGAAAGATTTAGAAGCTGAAACAAGTTTGTAGATGTTGGAATAGTTTGTCAGTGTGATTCATGTTCACTGTTAACTGTATTTGGTTTGTTGTCTGTTAGACCCATGTGACATGTATACTGCCTAATATTGGCTAGGACGCTCATGTAAAAGAGATTTTCAATCTCAACGTGTCTTTCCTGGTCAAATAAAGGTTATAATAATAATAATAATAATAATAATATCATTTAAAAATACAGATTTTATTAAAATGTTTTATCGTCAAAATATTCTTACACAAGCCACAATCAGGTTTTTCTTCCCCTTTTAATAAATATGCGAGTGTGAGTCTCGAGTGGATAACGAACTTGTGTTCTCATGGAAAGCAGTCTTTACAGCTCACTTCAGGAGAACGATCTCAGGGGACCGCGACCTGTGAGAAATGAGATGCTGCGATCTTCCTGATGGTCACATGACCTTGTGGGCTTGAGTATTGGAACTGAACAGACAGCTGATGATGCGATACACAAGAACACATACTGGGAAACAGCCAGAGTGTGTGTGTGTGTGTGTGTGTGTGTGTGTGAGAGAGACTGACCGGCTGACATAGTTACAGATGAGGCAGAAGCGTGTGGTGCGTGACTCCTTCTCCATGGTGCGGCGGAGAGCTGCCTGCGCTGCGCTGGTCATAGAGTCCGCCTCGTCCAGGATGATGATCTTAAATGGTGGACAGGTCTTACCACTGCACACACACACACAAACACACACACACACACACACACACACACACACACACACACACACACACACACACACACACACAAACACACACAAACACAAACACACACACAAACACACACACAAACACACACACAAACACACACACACAAACACAAACGCTCAGAAACACAAGATTGATCAGGTGTGTGTTTGTGTGTGGATGTATTTGTTCGTGCCAGTTCATGTGTGTCTGCTTGTGTGTGCGTGTGTTTGTGTATCTGTGTGTTTGTGTCTTTATATGTGTGTTTTTGTGTGTGTGACTCACTCTGGTCGTGTGCCAGCCACCGTCAGCTGGGCGAAGCGCTTCACCTTCTCTCGGACCACCTGAATCCCACGCTCATCAGATGCATTCAGCTCTAGCACTCGCTGGCGGTACAGATCCGGCCTGAACACACACACACACACACATATCAGAAGACGAACACAGTCGAGTCACAAAAATGTGAATTAGTGTGATCAGCACTACATTACCCATAAAGCTCTCTGGCTGCAGCGAGGATGGTGGACGTCTTTCCTGTTCCTGGAGGCCCATAAAACAGCAGATTCGGCAGCTACACACACACACACACACACACACAAACAAACACACACAGCACTTTACTGACATTGACACTCACTTGTGGATGGAATCATTTTATATTTTTTATGTTTAAGAGTTTTTTAATATATATAAACTGAAATATTTTAAGTTTTTCTTCATAGTAACTGCAGTAACATTAAATAAAAAGGATTTTTCAGATGTATTACAGCTCTATTACTGTTCATGTGTATTTCAGCAGACCCTTTTCACAACGTGTGGTGTGTTTCAATAATTAACATCATCAAAACACACACTTTAATGCAGTTTTTTGTTGCATTATTTTGACATTAAACTGTTCACACACGTCTGCTCCTTCCAGAGACTTCTTCAGCACCGCCACCACCTCCTCCTGAAACGCCACTTCATCTACACACTTGGGCCTGCTGAGAGAGACACACACACACACACACACACACACACACACACACACACACACACACACACACACACAGAGCATATGAGTACACAGTAGGGCTGCACAATACAATACAACATTATCCTTATTGCAATAATAGTATATGCAATATAGACGTGTGATAAATGACAATAACTTTGTGCTTCGGTTGTTTGGTTATCTAAATTTGACTACACAGATGGGGCTGTACCATTTTTAGTACATTTTCCTTTTTTTACTATATTTTCTATTGGCTGGACCCCAAAGCTGAACCCAGAGCTGAAAATAAACACTGAGAAGCGTAGTCGAGACGAGAGAGGAAAAATGACCACTGTCAATCAGAGTCAGGATATCTGCATATCAGGTGTTCACTCACTCATTCATGTTTTAAAGACTAAATGTTTGCAGTTTTTTTCTATGAATTAGAATAAATGAGATCTAAAAAATGTGTTTTACCTGTTCGTTTTAATATGGTTAAATAAATAAATGATTTGCATTTGATGACAGCAAAAAAAAAAAAACATTTTCAAGTCAAATCATAACACTTAACAACAACAACACTGCATGTTTATCCATTATAATGCAGCAGATCCTAAAACGCAGATATAAATGATGATGATGATGATGAAGTCTTACTATTTCTCCACCCATGGCACTGCTCTCTGCTTCTTCTCTCCACCCGAGGATGATGATGATGAAGGCTTCTGAGCTTTAACACTCTGTGAGGAAGAACCTTTCAGAAACGCCTGCATCTCTGCTCCTGCAAACAAACACACACACACACACACACACACAAACACAAACACACACACAAACACAAACACACAAACACAAACAAACACACACACACACACACACACACACACACACTTCTGTTGTTAGGGTTTACAGGAACTCTCCATAGAATTATAGACAGGGGACATGTGAAGTGGATCAAATTATACATTTATTAATTTTCGTTTCGGCTTATTCTCTTTATTAATCTGGATTCACCACAGCGGAATGAACCGTTTACGTATCCAGCATATATTTTACACAGCGGATGCCCTTCCAGCTGCAACCCATCACTGGGAGACACCCATACACTGCCTTTCAAACTCATACACTAAGGCTATTTAGCATACCCAATTCCCCTATAGCGCATGTGTTTGGACTGGGGGAAACCGGAGCACCTGGAGGAAACTCACGCCAACACAGGGAGAACAACTGACCCTGTCAGAACTCGAACCAGCAACCTTCTTGCTGTGAGGTGATCGTGCTACCCACTGCACCACTCAAGTTGATCAAAAACATGTTTAAAAATTGTTTAGAGACGAGAATGGGTGAACAACAGTTTAAGGATAACTTTAGTTGTTTACATTTTAAGATTTTTATTTAAAAAACAAATGTTACACATACTTTTGCTATATGGAATGCAAAAATTGTAAAGCTCAATATCTCAAAATCATTCAGAACGCAGATAGAACCTAATAATTCTAAGGTGACGAGATATATATATATGCATGCCATATTTTTATTATAAATCACACCAAATATTATGATTTTAAACCACACACAGTCTCACATGTACATACTCACACAAACACTGCAGCAAGTCTTGATTGTACACGCTGAACACCTGACAATCTATCTTCAATAGATGTCATTTGATATATTTCTGACAGCCCAAATTAGCTCTATATTATTTACCAAAACTATACTAGTTATTAAATAAACAGATGAGACAGACTCCACAAGCCTTTTCATTCTTGATGATGATTAGTCTAGTTTTGAGGTATTTTCAGATGTGTATTAACGTTAGATGTTCACTGAGAGCCTAACCTCATTTCATTAAAGCCGTCTACAATACTTCTTTTAAACACACAGACATACTTGCTGAATCTGTCTATTTACATTTCTCTACTTGCCTGATGACAAAAATAAGATGTAACATCTAAAGGCGACTCTTATCCATATAAATTTCCGATCAAAGTACAATATCACACCTCTTCTAAACACAAATAATTGAAAAAACTCAATTTCTCTTAACTATAAATAATAATTAAAACATCACATCTCTCTAAATAAATAATAATCAATATATAACATCTCATTGATTTTAGAGTTACTCAATGTGGTGCACTGGATAGAGTCTGCCCCGCGCGCTCCTCTTCATCATTTATCATCAATAATAGGCATAACTATAGATCATTCATGTGTAAAAGCAGTCGCGACTGGTGTTCTCACCTTAATATAATCGATGTAAATCACAATAAATCTTTTTTTGGTCAAATAAACTCGAATAAAACTCCTGACGATCTGTTGACACTGCGCGGGTCCTCAGATTCCCGCCAGACGCGCAGGTGACGTGGGAGCGTGCGCGTGTACGTCACTGGCGCGCGCCACAGATGATCAAGATCACGTGATCATCCAGCACTACCTAAAATATAAGATTAGTTTATTTTATTTCTGGTTGAAAAAAGCTGGTTTTGACAGCAATGTAATTGTTCATAATGGTGGACATTTATTTCAAGCGTAAATAATCTGTCTGTGCTCCTGGGGGACCCTTACTCTGTTTAATTATTATTGAACTGTGATATTTGACAAAATAAATTATTTTAATTGACAAAAGCTTTCAGGGAGTGGAGCAGTGAAATACCGCTGTATTATTAGCTGACATGCTATATTTGTTAGCTAATGTTTTAAATAAAAATGCATCTGCTTATTATAAACTTTTTAACAAAGAAGAGACAAATATTCCAAATAAAAGCCAATATTGTTGATGACAAAGAAAATATTAAAGATTTATGATATAATTATTTATATAGTTTTCAATGTTGATATAACTGTATGTGTGTGTGTGTGTGTGTGTGTGTGTGTGTGTGTGTGTGTGTGTGTGTGTGTTTGTAACTTATGCATATTTTACATTACTATAAGCAAAATATTTTAAATATTGCCATGTTTATTGAAAAAAACATAATTTTAGCAAAAGAATAAACTTGATTACTTCATTATAATGATAATTTCCTGCTGACGGGAGTGATCTGCGATCTGCGCTCTGCTAGTTCAGTCTGCCCCACCGTGCGTCATCACGTCATCACTCCAGCGTCATAATAAAACTATTAAAATAGCATGTTTGCTCTCAGATTAGTGTTTTAAAATCATTATAATTTAAGGAAATGTTGCATGTGTGATGTTTTATTTTTCTCTGTATACATGAATCTATCGAGTGTCTGTTATGATTTAGTTATATTATTTTATTGCTTGTTTTATCAGTTTATATTTATATATTTATTTATTGTTTAAATAAATTAACAAACAAGCGAACACAAAAAGACTTGAATAACTGTTTACGATGTAATTTCCCACATGTGTAAATCTGTAAGCATGCACATTATATTGCCATATTTACTTATTTCTGTATTTAAAATGTTATTATACTCATATTACATCTGATCTATATAGTTTTATTAATATAATTAGTGCATTAACTACTTTTAGTTATTATCAATTAATTAATTTAATGTTAATTATGAAATATTACAATTAAATTAATAATAAATTAATTAATTAATGGGTGGCGCAGTGGCTAGCACTGTGGCCTCACAGCAGGAAGGTCGCTGGTTTGAGTCTCGGCTGGGTCAGTTGGTGTTTCTGTGTGGAGTTTGCATGTTCTCCCCGTGTTGGTTTCCTCCGGGTGCTCCGGTTTCCCAGTCCAAACACATGCGCTATAGGGGAACTGATCAACTACACTGGCCGTAGTGTGTGTGTGTGTGTGTGAATGAGTGTGTATGGGTGTTTCCCAGTACTGGGTTGCGGCTGGAAGGGCATCCGCTGTGAAAAACATATGCTGGAATAGTTGGCGGTTCATTCCGCTGTGGCGACCCTTAATGAATAAATGGACTAAGC